TTTTAACTACCCCTTGAAAAGGACAACAAGATGCTCAGCAAGTATGAGAAGAGCTCGAATTTTTGCAAAGTGCGGAATACTGCCTAATTTATTGTCCACTTCCTCAAAGTATTATTTCATTCCACTTCCACAGTGATATCAAGAGTGAACGCGGTTACTAAAGCACTAAACTAAAGTAATATTTAGTATTTCACAGAAATCTTTACCTTAGCTCTGTCATATACCAAATATACTTAACAGTTTAACAAAATCCCGATCTTATCAAAGCTCTTTCAACTTCAAAAAAGCGAGATTAATTTCATTTGCAAAAAATGTGAGATATTCCGCTTCCACCCTTCATTTTAAGCGAAATTTAAATAACAGAAGTAGGCAATACCAGTGTCTGTGGTACATCGCAATTACTGAAAAGCGTGTACTGTTGAGAGACAACTCTGCGAGCGTAAGAATCAGCATTTTTTCGTAGCAAAGCAAAGCTAAACAAATTTAATCAACTTGAGAAAAAAATGCGAAGAACAGGAAAAATGAATAATATCAATGTCTACAGGGCTAAAATTTTAGCCTAAAATTTTGGCTAAAAATTTCGCATCCTTTTGTATAGTTTCTGTTCTGCCAACAGGAGTCTGATGCTTACTGCATCAATTCAGTATAACTGGCAAAATCTTTGTACAGTAACATTTAATTCAAATAAAACCTGTGATCAACAGTTCCTACTGTAATTTATGTGATTTCTTACACTATGTCTCCCAAAATGCCACAAAGAATAAGGCGTTCGCGTATTATAATGATAGCAATATTTGGTGTTTCCTCTTTTCGCTCTCTGTGTATTTGAGAACATAATCGTTCAATTGAGGTTAATGTTGTACCGAGAAGGTTGGCCAGCTAAATTATCCAAGTAAGGAGTATTTTTCTATGAAATCCATAACTAATTGTGGAAGAAATGCGTGAAATCGTTGACACTATTACTGGTAATACTCGCTATAGGGATTAATGAGTGATAAACATATGCGATAAACATGTTCACAACATTACAGGTCATATGCATATAATTAATAAAAGGACGCTGATCTTGGAAGTGTAGTATTGCAAAGTGTTGTGATCATAAGATAAGTAAAAAAAGGTACCTGTCTTTTGTAATTGTTTGGAAATGTCCTTTCATGTAATGTAAACTTACAAATGTGATACTTTTTCAAGACAATTAACGGATTTTTTTAGGTTCGGCGACAAAGAATCTGCAGCCTACCGAATAGCTATCTTTATAAACGATTTAACAGCGAATTTGATTTGATGGGAACTTCAACAATTTCAGATAGTTTTTAACAAGTTGTTAACCTGCGCGTCATTTCCAATATTGTTGACCGGATGCTCGCCAAATGTCCGATCAAAAGGCAAAATTTGGGCCCGAATCTGCTCGATTAGCATTTCTGCTTTAATTTTCTGCAGAGAACTTTCCACTATTGCATATAATCTAACGATTAAGCCTAATCGTTCATCTCTGCAAATTAGCCGTCTTCAGAAAGTCATTATTTTTTTACATTGTCATGCAGAAACATTATTTCCTCATATACTGACATTAGTTCTTTGATTTCGATGCAGTTTTAAATTTGAATTCAGTCTCACAACTTACACTTCACAAATATATCGTACATCAGGATTTTTGCTCATTTCATTCTCGGAAGACAGTTGTGGACTCTAAATAGATTAGATTATAACAGATAAAACTGGCTCTTTTTTCATTCGAAATTTGTCTTATAACTAATCAAGAAAAATTTATTGCTTCATTTTTGCGAAATGACAAACGTTGATCGTCGTTTAGACGATTTAAAAAAAAACGGCAAATAACATTGTTATAGCAGATGGCGTCTAGAGAATGAGTTTACAGGTTGTATTCTATGTTTCAGTTTGCGATGATGTTGGCGTGAAAAGCAAAGAATTCATGCTAGATTTTTTAGGATCTCGGATATTTTACTAAACAATAATATGAGGAGAGATACTGCATTGAACTGGCGTCTGTTTCTGATAATGATGCATGAGAAACAGAAAATCGGTCGATCTTTATTTTTGGATAGGAGAGAGATGAATATGGAAATTCAGAATTGGTTGAATATCTGCATTTAATTGAGAAAATCTAACTGATTTGCTGAAGAAGAAATTGAACTAACCTGCAAAGGACAATGAGCAGCATAAGAACATTTTCGGTATTTTACTGAAGATGTGAACATTATGGGTGAACACTACCGTTCAAAGTTTACTGTTGCAAAAATTACAGTAGAATACAAACTATTACTGTGTGACTTGCAAACTACCTTCAAATATTGAAGGAATTTCTTCGAATCTCGGATGATTTGCTAAACAATCACTTATTCAGACCTTGTAAAAATTATACATCGTTACACTTTTTTTGTAAGTCTAACGTTCTTTTTTTAGGCTGGAATTGACATTTTCAAATTACGCAAACAAAAGGCACAGCAATTTTACCGAAGTAACCAGCTCTCGGTTACTGTGCGTTAGAAGCAACCGCCCAGTAGTCACGTTGTGATTAAAAATGGCTTCATCGTAATCAATACAATCACTTTTAAAGAGAGAATAGAGTATGGATTGCTCCATTCATCCTAATTGCATCTTCCCATTTGGTATCGGTCGCATTCTTCGTTATCAAAAGTCCAGTTTTAGAAGAATTCCATTGAGGATTGATTATCTCAAGGAAATTGTGAAGAATAAAACTGAAAAAAGAAGCTAAGGCATATTTTAACTAATCCCAGGAAGACAAATCTGAGTTTGAATGATTTCTTCAGAGCAGATGTAACCCATTAATTTAGGAAGTAAAATATCTTTATTATCCTTGACAGCACTCGGAAAGGTAAACAGCTTCACTGGAGATTCGCAACAGCTTACCAAGGTAAACAGCTTCACTGGAGATTCGCAACAGCTTACCTTTTATTCTATCCGAGTGTACTCTTTGTTTACGTTTATTTACGTCTTTTTTTTCCATATTTTTACTGTATTTTATCGTGCATCTTTGGAATCACATCTTTACTATGCCATCATACCTTTACACATGCTCTTTCCACTGCAGTATTGTGACAAGCAATGATAAATGATAAGGGAGGACCAGTAACAAAAAAGGATTACAAGCGCCGTCTATTGAACATGATACGTCCTATTGTAACGCTTTTCCACACAAAACTTTCCATCACCCCCTCCCTCACACATTCCTCAGGCAATACGACATTTGAATTTTTTGTGCGGGCTAGGGGACATGAAGCCAACAATCGAGAAGGGTGAGATATTTCTTTTACCTTGTGGTGGCTGATTTATTGTTATCGTTCGTAATCTGATGGTAGTAAATCTATATGGCTTGAAGTCTTAGAGCACACCGAAGCGAGTTCCCAGCACCATCCGCGATATCTCGGTGAGAACTGTCTTTATCATTTAATGCGAGTTGAATTCATTTTTGGCGTAAATTCTTGTGCGTGACTACTACTCATAGTTTGTACGAGTTGTACTTCATTTTTGTCTGATTGGTTAAGGATACAAAAGCAAAAATATCCAGGTTCAGGGTGGACACTGTTCTGTGTTTATCTCTACTTAGAATCCCAGATGACACTTATCTTCCTCATACGGTATTTGTAAGCATTAAACACATAGGTTTACCCAATAAAATGAATCGTCTAATCCGACCAAAAATTTGACTGATCTATGTGATGAAGAGGTGCTCACACCTGTCAGAGTTGGTTAAACAATGACTGAATAATATTTTGAACATGTCAAAAATATTATTTTCGAATTTTTATAAGGTTGGAGTGGAGATCTGATGGCACTGTTACCTGGAGAAAATTAGTGGAGTTTCTTGATACCTAGTAAAAGCATTCATCTTTATTAAGTGTAGAGTTTTCATTTATACTCTACTCCTAAAATAGAGATGACGCCCATAAAAGCCGAATCAAAGCTGATGACTATAACGGTCAGCTGTACCAGTGACCAAAATGATTTCCCTAGGTCCTAACACCACACGAGTACTAATTTTGGGATGTGACCAACAACCAGTTGATTTTTGTTTTTCTTAAATGAAAATCAAAACTGCATTACTATTCTTAGCGAATGAAGGGTTTATCATTTTGAATGGTTTATTGGTTGCGGGGGCTTGTGGATTTAAATGATGATACAGGTGCTTTCTTTGAGCAGGAAACATAGATTATTATACGCTAGGAGCTTTCTTTTTTTGCAGATAACAATCGTGAATATTGAAGGAATAGATGCGAAGGAGATCTATTAATTGGCAATGGCAAGTATTATCAAGAATCAGATTATCAAGCATCTTTCAAAGTAATTTCTGAACATATTGTTTTGTGAGCTTTTCTTTTTTTTGGAAAAATAGAAAGCTCTTCTATTCTTTTGAAGAAATAGAAAAGCTGGATTCCTTTTCTGGATTCGTAATCTATTTTTGAATACACTCTTTCGGAAGAAATGCGTTGCATGGGATAATTTTTTATTTTCAACCAAATTTCAGATTTGTTCGGAATATTACAGCTGATCAAATTAGCGTGCAGATTTTGAGTGGTAAAGGAGAACTAAAAAACATCGAGTTGAACGAAATTGTTTTAAGTGAAGTTAGTTTTTTCCTTTTGCCGTATTCACCACTGTTTGCTTCACATATTTCCTCTCAGATATTTTTGTTGCCATGAATTAACCGAAAATGCAACAATAACTTGTTTCTTACCTCTAGTTTTTGTTTGTTGAATAATTCTAAAGTTGAATTGACAGTTTGCTGTGTATAACTGAAAATTGTATGATAGTTAGTCATCCAGCACAGATATCCGTTATATTGTCAGCTGTAAACATCTGCTTCTAACTCCGCATCTTATTTCTATTATCATTTCCATTTCTAAGTAAAAATTCCCATTTCATGAGTCTTTTTAGAATATGATTAAATGAGCGCCTAAACAAAACAATGTAAATATTTATTTTTTGTAGGTACTTGAATTACCAACATGGTTACGAGTTAAGCGGGCAGTTTGCAATAGAATAGCTGTTAAAGTTCCGTGGACGAAGTTAAAATCACAACCAGTTCAACTAGTAACATTTCTATCCCTCATTTGAAATGTAAAATTAGTAGAATTGGACAGAAAAAAAAAGAATCTCGATCATGCTTATAATTTTTCTGATATAACGGTGTCATCAGTTCTTTATAGGGTATTCTGACCACATTCCAAACAAGACAACCGAATTCTGACTAAAGTCCTTTCATGCCGAAAAATATTACTTGAAATATTCCGTTTTCCATCCAGCTTTAGTCCCTGTTTTTAGTTTATTGATGAAATACGGGTAGAAGTCGAACTTAGCTCAGAAGAATTCGTTGGCTGTGACTCAAACCCTTTGAGGTATATTTTTTCACTGCAAGATTTAAATGCTTAGTTTTTAAGTGAGATATATTGAAGGGTTATTAGAGTTTAAAAATATTATTTTAGTGCCTCTGGAGATTCAACATATGGATTTGCTAATCGAGTTGCGGAATCGATGTCACTTTATGTTAATTCGGTGGAGATTAATTTTGATTCTGGTGTTTTTAGAGGTTCTCTGGCGGTAAGTTGCTGAATATCTTGTTCATCTGCTCTACCGTGATTTTATTATCAGAGTTTCGTTGAAGTACTGGAAGATTCTTTTTGTCATGAAATCTTCGTTTCAGCTCTCGAGATTAGCGGTTGAAAGCAAGAGTCCAGGCTGGCAAACAGTCAGTGATTTGCGATATACTCGAATTGTAGATACAACTACCGGCAAATTGCTTATATTTAAAATGGTGACGTAATATTGTTTGGTGACCCTCTATTTTATGATTTATGAAGACCAGAAAGCTTCTCTTGATTTACCCTTAGTTTAAATATCTTTCACATCACTCTGTAGTCATTACTTCTTTATATTATTTCATGTTTTATTAGTTTTATAAGCGGTCGTTTCTCAGGTTACTTGGCAATTATTGCGTATCGAAGCGTCCGCACAAGCTAATTCATCACGAAATGCGATAAATGCTCCGTTACGATTAATTACCAGCACTGGGAAGAGTAGAATTAGTGTGAAAAAGTCCACTATTGGTATGAGTTCATTAAAGTTCACATCTCGAATGTATTGAAAGAAAAAAAAAAACTAAAAATATAATGGTTGTCTCATTCCTTGATTGTATTATGAATAAGATGCATTATTAAGTAAGATGGAAAAATTGAAAGAGTGGTTTTTAGATGGTACCGTTCTTGGTGGTCGCATACAGGTAATACTTGACGATATTTTGTGGATTGCTACTTTACCGCAGGTACGGTCTGCTATCACATTTTACGATCACATCATGAAAATAATCAAAGCAGCTCCTAAGAAAGTACCGACGTTATACCACACAGAGGTTAGATATTTGTGAAAGTTTCCTTTTATTTTTTGCGTCTTTACCGAGGACGAAATTCTTACTTGATCGTTTTACACACAGTCATTTCTGCTGTAATTTCTTCATTTTTACAATATTAATCATTTATCCTTAAAGCCTGTCGAAATGAAACTGCCAGTGATCAAATCGCCATCTTCGGTTCCGGTCTCAGCTATATTTCGCAATTTCGATTTTGAGCGAACGTCGTATCATGTTTATGTTGGCAAAATTGATCTTCATCTCTGTGATGATAATCAGACCTCAGATGGTATTACTTTTTTCCGTTTTGATTTTTTTTTTTTTTTTAGTATAGAGTTGTCTTTATTAAAGGAAAACTCTTCTTCGGAAGTTGCTGTCGAACACAGATCCTCGTTTGTTCAATAACTTCTGGAACACAAGTAGTGCAAAATTTTCACGCAAATTCAAGTTTTGGTTTTTTTTCCCATATTGTTTGATTTTGGACTTTAGACTTCTGTCGCTCATTTAAAATTCATTTGTTGTTTTTTTCAGTTCCAATTTTTTCAATCAAGTTAATGAATTAAATCAAATTTCCAGGTTATCCTGAAGATTGGGACATTATTTGTGGTGCACTACAAGTAACTTTACTGCGCCTATCCGTTGATTTCTATCCAGCTAATAGCGCTGTATCTGATCGCAGTGACTGGATTCGATATGATAATGCAAATCATTGTGCTGCCTGGGTCCACAAAATATTACAGTTCCACTTGCGAAAGCTTTGCACTGAATTGGGTTTGAATTATTCACTTTTCTTTTGGTTACAAAAATCCGAGGTGAAGAGTGAAAAGTGATTCTCATCACTTAACTTTTTTTTTGGCTACAATCATTTGGCTCGATCATGTTCCAAATCTTGATTCTCACTTGCCGTTTTACATTTTCATTACCTTTTTTTAGATGTCACTGCACAGTCTCAAGTAGTTGATATGTGGCCAATGTTAATGTCTCAAAATTGCGTTATACGAATGTATGATATTATTGTCCAATGTGTGACGGATATGAATTCCAAAAAAGAAGCACTGTTTAATCTGTTCATGTCAGATCGTAAATTAAACACTACAGCAAGAGACAATAGTTCTCTTTTCCATCTCGAATTTACGTCTTTTTATCACCCGACATCTGAAAATTTTCCAGGTAGTAGCTTCTGTTCATTTTAATTGAAACGTTTTGAAGAGTTTTGTTTAATTACCACTTTTACGCCGAATTTTGATTAACCGATTTTCAGTGCCATCAAACATCACACATCTTTTGCTCGGTCCATTTTTTTTCGTCGTCGATCAAAGAACGATTCGGTGGCTCTTGTTTATAATCGATGACATTAAATATGCTTTGGTAAATTTGGGAATCATCTCTAGTGTTTTTGAAAAATTTCCACTAATTTTAAAACATAGTTCAAACTCGATTTCGCCCAAACAATAATAATTGTATTTTGCAGCAAATCTCTAACGCAGTGCCTGAAGTCACAAAAATACCCAGAACTTATCTGCGCATCAATCTGCTTATGCCCAAGGTATATACAAAATATCCACTGTAATGAATCGATCGTTTCGTCAGAGACAATCATTTTTGTTGGTCTTTTTTTGGTTTTCGATATGCCGAAGTTGAAAGTTAAAGGAAGACGATTTCTGATAAATACTTTGCTATAACAATACAAGCAGAAATTTTTTCTTCTAAACAAAATCTTATCCCGTACGCGTCATTATTATCTCTGTTTCTTTGTTTCTGATGATTTCTTCTATTTATCTAATCAAATGTGGAACTGATGCAGAGAGTTTTGAAATCGGGCAAAATTTCAGATAATAATACCGTTAAAAGACCCGTTTGTATCGGATTTGCGTTTCGCACGCAGAATTGTGATAAGCATGAACACTTTGCTGGCTACCAATTGCGAAGCAGTTTCCGGCGGGAGATCAAATTCGTTTTTCAAGACAATTTCAGCTAATATAATCGATTTCATCAATTGTATTGATCTGTTGGTTAGCAAAGAGAAGTTGAAAGAATTCATCTTTCAGCTGAATCAAAATTCGTGTGAGGATGTAATTCAAGGTAACATCATGTTTCTTGTTATCATCTGAAATGTGAAGTTTTAAAAATTCCAATGCAAAACAGCAACTCCCTGACTTTAAAAGCCGTCCTTAATTTAAATCGTCGCTTAAAGGTAAATTATTCCGACCGATATCTTGAACAATAAGGAATAAATTAATCGTTTTTTGTGCAAATTACAACAAATTTCTTAGAAAGTTCTGTAGCAGTTTTGCTTTTGTGATTTAATTTTTTGACTTATCGCTCAGAACAATTTTAGCTGAGCGGATTTGGATAAATACATCACCAATTCGGATAACTACAGATTTTGCAGAAGAAATATCGAGTACACCTTTGCTTGCTGATGTTGCTTTTCATGCACTTCTTATTGTAAAACCAATGAAGGTTTAATATTTGAAATTCATTTTAAGTAGCTTTTTTTGACCACATGTTTTTAAAAATTCTCTAATTCAAATATTTCGAATCTTTTTTCCTAACCTTCATATTGGCTGTTCAAAACTACGAAAAAAAGACAATGCCGAGGAGAGAAGTGGTTTCGGCATTTGTAATTTTCAGGTAAGCATGGCACTGCAACCGTTGTCGAAGATTCGGGTCGCAGTTAATCATTTTCAGTTTCTTCAAATCATGCATCTGATTTCTTATATATCAGCTTTTGTGGATCAACTTGTCAGTGACCGGAAATTTTTCTGTGCTAACCGTAACAATGGAAATGATACAGCAGTTGAAATGATTTGTTTCCTAGATGAGGTATATCCATTCTTATTAATGACATTGACATAATGGAGTCTTAGTTTTGCAGTTTACATCTATATTTTCCAAAAGAATACTAAACAGATTCTTTATTTGAATGGATTTAACCGATTCCAGGCTGAACTTAATATTATACTGCCAAATCAGCCAATTCCAACTCCGTACGATCTTCAGGAAACAATACCACAATCACCAGCAATATCTTCAAATGGCTAGTTTCTTTTTTTCTGCAAAGTTTTTGCGGAATTTTTTACAAAGCGTGGTATATCTGCAGTTTTTAACATGATTGTCTCGCGTGCCTTATTCAAATTTCAGTTCTATTTTTTTTTTTATAAGCTCATTTAATGTCCCACTATTCATTACACAGGAAATTTATTAATAAGACGTGTGTAATGCCACGATCCAGATATTGCAAATATTATTTTATAAAGTATAATAGGCACGCGATTTGAAATACAAAAATGAATAAATTTGTGGGTTTGCTGTATGATGACCAATTTATTAGCAGCTTTCTGATTCACTCCTTTTTTGAGGTTTCATGGTTATAGCATAGAAACTCCGGAAATTACTGTTGTTTATGATCCTGTGTTTGCACTGAATCCACATGACTGTCTGACACAAATTCCACGAATTCCTCTTTATCTTTCGATTCGATGCGCACATAAGGTGGTAACTGAGCCCGAATTTTCTCCAGATGTTTGTCTAGTCGCGAAGATTGTTTAGCCTAGCGAAGATTAAAGATATTTATAACTTCTATTCGAAGAACTGCAAAATTTTCATTGCTCTGTGGTTGCTTTAAAATTTATTTTTAATTTCCTTCCAAGTCCTTGACTTTATGTCCAAATAACTTATCTACTCACTCAATTAGTGATCCTTTCTACATTTATTGATTATGTACTTACTTGGGTTGTTTCGCTCTTGGGGCTTTTATCAAGTATAGCAATATCTGTGGGTTTCGACCGTGCTGGTAAACGATATCGTAAAAAAGGTGATGTTCGATATCCCGGAGGTCGTCGTGAAAGACGCATAAACCTCTCAATGTTGAATTTCTTTCTGTGAACATTATTTGGGTGAATATTTAAGATTTCATGAGTTGGTGCAATTGTTGATATTGTAATTGCTCCTGTTTCCAAACGTAGCATTGAAATTGTTTTATCAGCTTCTGGAATTGAGTCGAGAAATTTCTGGATATTTTAGAAGTTTCTTCATAGGAAGATTCCGCTATGAACACCGGGATTATGGAACAGATTATTTATTTAATAACTCTCTGCTTAATTTTAAAAAAAATATATAATTAAAAAAATTACTTGACGTAGACTTTAAGCAGCACAGTGGCGGTTGTGGTGGATCGCTGTTTTTGGGGCATACATCCTCCAAATTGTTCGTGTAATTTGTTTGACAGATTAAATTGGGCTCTGTTGTAAGGTTTATTGCCTCTTTTCCATTCATTACGTGAAAGCCATCTTGTAGACAAACCATCGGGTTTTCTGGATAAGAAAGGTATTACTTGAGTATTAAATATCACTTATTGTTGCAAATCTTCATCTTTTATTCTTTGAATTGATTTTTCGGTTCAGTGATTAGTTTTATAGCCTCATATTATTCCTATTATTTGCACGATTCTTCAAAATTGTTAGTGAAACAAACCTTGTAACCGAACCATCAGGTAGTCGGAGCCAATAATGGCACTTGGTTCGATAGTGTATATTTTATTGTGTGACAAGTCCAGAGTATGCAAATTAGCTAGGTGTGCGAAGCTTAAGGGCTAGAACATAATGATTTGATTCTGTTTCAACAGGTTTTGAAAGTGTGAGAGTTAATATTTATTTTAAATCTTGCTGAAAGTTCTCGACATTGTAGGGATCATAACTATAATGACGAGATGATCAGCAAGCTATAAAAGATAAAAGATAATCTACAATGATGCAAAAATTGTATTATATTACCTCTATTGTCCTGATGTTGTTGTTACCAAGAGATACCTGTCGTAGAAAAGGTGTACCTTGAAACAGGTTTGGTGATATGGATCTCAAACAGTTGTTTCGTAACCACAGTAGAAGTAACGGTGTCGTTGCAAATGCTCCGGGTGCTATATCCTGAAAAAATTTTTCGGTTCACCTTGATGTAAGGAAACTGAAATGATAAAAAATTTTTCGACGCACTAACTCCAAATTTCTGTATCTTAACGGTTTAGGCAGTTCTTCATTTTATTAAAACAAATATGATTTTGGTAGTAACCTTTATTTGATTGCCTTCAAGATTGAGATGTTGTAGATGTTCCAGACCAGAGAACATGTCGCCCGTTATCGTAGTGAAATAGTTATAACTCATATCGATAACCTGAGGTAGCAGTCAATAAACATTTAGCAAACAGTTTGGCTTTAGCGAATTTTTAATTTGTTCACAGTTTTTGCTTTTTAGCTGGAATATTTTTGTAACTTCCTCACATAGCAAAGAATAAATTGCTGAGTCAATAAATACCGGATTTTTTTTAGTGGTTTTAGAATCGGAGTAACTTTTTATTTTGATTTCGCAAAATTTAAATCTTTACCTGGATTTGTTTGAATTGATGCAGTACTCCTGCATCCATGGTTTCTAAATTATTATTACCCAGATAAAGATAGCGAAGATTTTCAGCTCGGGGCATGAAATCACTTTCAATCGTAGAAATTTTATTTCCGGTGAGTGAAAGGATTGTTAGACTGCTTAGGTTAGTTAACTGCATGCTCTCCAATAGTTTAATCTGAATTTAAAATTCTAATTAACAAAGAAAAACTTCGCAGTGATCCAACTATTTAATAGCTTTCGTTAGAGTTCTTGGATCAGTCTTTGAATTTTTCTGAAGAGAATCGGAAGAAATCTTTCGGAAGAGTAGTTATTCGTGTAATAGTTGAAATATCAAATTTGAGTAGGGTTTGTTGTCTAATGTACGTATTGGATCGAATTTTTTTATGTCCGTAGTAATGTGTGAAACTACTAATAATATTTTAATTTCGTTGACTTTTGCTTACCTCATTATATTTCATATGTAGACCGATAAGATTGTCCAGTCCTCGAAGAGCTTCAGAAGGTATGGCTGATAAGCAATTGTTATCTAAGATTAGATTTTGCAAAGTGTCCTTTACGTCATCGAATACCGATCCTTCGATGTTACAAATCTAAGTGGATTGCTCTCAGAAGATTTTGCTTCATATTTATTAATTTGCTTACTTTAGAAGTGGAAGATGTTGAGATTCTGTTTTAAATATTATCAGCTTTAAAGTTTATTTAAAAGGAAATAGTTTAAATTTCATAAATTTTACCTGATTACATTCAAGATTTAAATCGATCATGCTGGACATATTCTGGAAAACACGAGCCTTGATATCCCCAATATTGTTGCAGCGTAGGCTGAGTACGCGTAGAGCACGCATTCCGACAAGCGAATCAGTTGGAATGGCAGTAAGCTTATTTTTGGAAATTGAAAGCTCAAGCATGACAGATTCTAGGCCACGAAATGCTTGCGGGTGCAGCGCACGGATACGATTATTGTCGAGAATCAATTTCTTGATCCGCAAATTCCTGAACGCATTTCGTCCGATCTGTGTTACATAATTTGAATTTTAGCAAAAAAAAAATCAGTTTGGCAGCAAGTTTGAAATTTGAAACTCAGGCAGTTCGCAAAATCCAGGAAGTTATTTCAAGATCATAGGGTTTCATTTGCTTACATTTCGAAACGAGTAATTTTTCAAAATCTGACCTCGACAATGTTTGCATTTTCAAGTGCTAATTCGCGTATTTCAATTGGCGTTTTTTTGAGCTGTTCCACTATAGCTGGTCCATTTTGGCCGCTACATCGAATTACGACACCATCAATATAGGCAAAACAAGAACAAGTTGTTTGATTTTTCAGAAATGTTGGACAAAATGCTAATGCACAATTAACAAATACACAGAAAAATAGAATCATTCGGTGCTGCGTCATTTTTTAGAGTTGAAATCAGTGTTTTAAAATAAGTTATTTGACGTCCAAATAGATGAGAATTATTTGGAGGACCTAAGGAATCCTTATGGAAGGACTGCTGTGGAAGTTTAGAGTTCAATACAGTATGTAGATAGGAAGGCAGTACTTCACCGTTTTCGATGGAAAATGAGTTTTCATCCAAGTTTTTTTTTTCTCAAAACATGAGTATACAGGTGGATTCTTCTTAAGATGAAAACGATTTACATTTAACAGCGAATGGTGAGATGACTAAAGATGCCGGGTGATTTGAGGGGACGATGTGGGGCGGGAATTTATAGAGGAAATAACAGGTACCAGGAAGGTCGCCGCCCTTTTCGCTTCACATATTTTCATATCGTTTGTGCAATGCATCCAATTCGACATCATCAGCCATCGCCTTAATATTGTCAGGTCAAGGCCAACGTCTATAGCTGCTTGTTCTCGCCAGGGATCCGCGCTATTTTGTGAAACACAAAATTTTATACAATAGTACTCCATATACACAGTGCGTAGTTTTGCTGGAAAACAAACTTTTAAATTTTATGTACGTCTTGTTAATCAGTGGTGAGTGACACAGTTTTCATTGTATTACAGTGAGTAAACTTTTCGTAATCCCACATGACTCATGTTAATTTTGGCCGATATTCTTTAAGTACATCCTGTATTTATTGATTCCTGATTATAAGACCCTGCATACTGTCTAAGAAAGTAATTTCTCGATTAATCGAGCTTTGAAACCTTGTGTAACAGTAAACTCATGAAATATCGATTTGATGGTATAACATTTCGAGGAAGAAATAAGCATGGATGCTTCGAAAAGATACAGAAACTTGTTGCTTCATTTTACGTCACACTGACTCACCTTATGATTCGATCTCGTCGGGTCGAATTTTATTTGCCTAATTGGGAATTTAATTTTTAAAGAAGTAGAGCAAAACTAAAGTGGAATTTAATGAGGATTAACTGAATTCGTTTTTAAAATAATGGGTTTCCTACGTCCTTAAATTTCAGAGAGTAGATTTGCTCACTTTAGATATTTGAAGTTTCAGTTTCACCGCTTTAACATTATTCTTTAGCGTAAATTACCTCAACACATCCTCAAAAGGTGTGAATTACTTCCACATATCCTCAAAAGCTGTGATTTACAAGTTAATGGTCATGTTCTTGAGATACTACTACACACTCAGTAATGAAATTTCTGATTCGTTTGGACTACCTTTGCTCCCATGATGTCCACGTTTATCTCGAACTTCTTTTTGTAACCACATGCATTAATTTTGTTAATGATTTCCAGATGCTATTTTCTGATCAGCAAATTCACCTTTACTGTAAATCGCCATTATTTTTGATCATCTATTCGGATATGGCATTTAGAAACTCAGAACCAAAGCTTGAAACAGAGGGTATTTTCATGGTCAGGGAACGGATTTTTCCCATTAAAATTTCTTGTTTACACCGTTTTATCCGTATTGCAACTGCCGTATAAGGTGAAACGATTTTTTTTCCCTAAATTTTTGTTAATTTCTGGGAACATCAAGAAGCAGGAATTCAGATTTGACTACAAAAGAAAAGAAATATTTCAACTTTTTTCCGGAAGTTCTTTTACCCGTACTATCAGTTTGTTTCGTCTTGTCCACACTTTTTTCTTCTAGCCCTTGGTAAGGTGATAATACTTTCGATCCATTCAAAATGGCGTTAAAAATCAATACTTTTCGTATTTTTATTTCTGGATGAGAATCTACAATATTGAGAATAAAATTTTTTTGTAATCTAAATGAGAATCTGCAAAATTGAGAATGAAATTGAACCTCATATTTGTTCTATCAGTTAGCTCTTTTTTATATGTTTTGATTCGTAGCAGCAAATAGGATTAGTAATACATAAACGTCTGAGATGGAATGTTTTTAAAACTCAATCAACGTTGCAAAGTTTAAAGCAACTGAACAGATATCTGGAATGGATAGATTAAAAAATGGGTCCGGTCATAAGATTTCTTGAAATAAAGTTTTTAAATTAAAAAGTGGGAAAAAGATGTGCAGATATGCCGAACAATAATGCGGATACAAAAAAAAAGAAAAAATACATGGAATGTTGACAGGAAAAAGGGAACGATTTGAGCACCGGGTTCAAGTACTTATAATCTGTAATCTAAATGGTTAGTTTTCTGGGTATAGCCTTCCAAACTTCTATTTGTAGTAACCGGTATTCCCATACGAAGTAGGCGCATAAATCCATGGCTGCCCATCGTCAAATCGATTTAGTATCGGTACATTTCTGAAAATTATGACTGTTGTGTAGATTTTTAATTGTGGATCGAGTCCTGAATTCACTGAAAACAATACTGTCTATATATGAAATTTTGATGCGGTTTAGTCAAGAATTGACTTTGAAGTGTTAGGATCTTACCGATTCCGTCTAACTGTTCCGTAAATCATGTCAAGCTGAGCAGCAACATAAGCATTAGTACGTGCGGCGCTCTCGGTTGTCATCGATCCATGGTAAGTTTGCAGACGGCGATGTTTCGCAATACACAAACCAATAAGCACGGCAGCCATAACAATGGCAACGGTACTTAAACAAATCAGGATAATCACCGATGGAGCTGTTACACGTTCGAGCCTATAAAAAAAAAAAAAAATGCACCATTTGCTGAACCAAAAGTTGTCACTTAGCTTAGCACTATATCGATTTCACAATTCTGAGTACAGTTTTAAATGTGTTCACTGAAACAACGAAATATAATATGTTTGAGATATCCTACATTTTTAACAGATGGTTGCTGTCAGCACATAGCTAAATTAACGTTTTTCAAGAATTCCAAAAATGATTTGGATTAAATTGAGTTCAAAAAGCTAAATTTCGAGGTCTAGCTCATCAATTTTATGCTTCAGATGTCTAATCTACTATGTAACCTCAAAGGTTGCAGTATGAAATGATTTACCTTTCTGTATTATCCAGATCAAAGAAAATCTGTTCTCCACTTTCCTGTGCTTCTCTTGTATTTTCCATGGAATTTTTGCCGATGTGATCTCTATCAGTCTTCTCTGCTGAAGTAGTGTAGTCAGATTCCTGTATATGATTTGCGACAACAATACTGGGTGGCAGTGTTTGTTCGCTTGACGTCCTGTTATTTACAGATGCTGCATCCGTGACTGTTGTAGTTCCGGGTGCAGCTAAATATGCTTTTGATAGCTTTGAGGGGCGCTTTAAGAACGGTATCGGGAATGGGTGTATTATGTTAGTGGTATCAAACGGATACTGATGATTTTCACTTCTGTTTCTGTTACGCATTTCACTGCTTTCCAACACTTTATCTTCATATCTTTTCCTGCCGGAATTCTGAGATTCAGGAATTGTGCTTGCTCGACTTCTTATAGCATCCGTTAATTGCTCAGTACTGGACATCTCTGATCGTAGAAGTAGATTGGGTTGTATGTTTACAAGTGCATTAACAGGTCTTACTGGAATCACTTTATTTGTACCAATCTTTTCTTGTTGTTCGCCAACACTAGCTTCTAGTTTGTTTGCCTTAAATCATAATATATATTTTGACTTTTAAAAAATAAATTTAAGGAGAGTGGTTCTACAGATACTTGGGCTTTCTGTTTTATATACACTCAAAGCTTCTTTTCAAAGTTTCAACGAATTTCCAGAGGTTTTGGGAAGGTTGGAATAAAATAAACGAACTTCATTATCGATACTGGATAATGGACGAATTACTGGTGAAGTTTTAATTGGCAAAAGCTTCTCCACCTGTTTGAAATTGCTCTCTTCTCCACTGTTCACCATAAAATAGGTGGAAGTAGGCGGCGTATTTGTAATATCAGTAGTATTTCTGATGTTATTTCGATTAAGATTCTTATGTGATCCACAAATAACGTCTTCGCTTCTTGCTATATAGATTCCTACACCTTGCTGTAGCATATGCACTCCTTCCGAACACACCAAAGGGTTTTCTATAGTTAAATTTTAGTTTTTTTTGGATCAAAAATTTGACCACCATATTGCACGGAATATCTAGAAATTGATTCTAACTTAATTAAAGTATGTAAAATTTGTTTGCTAAACCTAGCAACTTTAAGTACCAACCCTTTAGAAGTACTATCTTCACACGTCGACTGAATGCTTCGTAGGGTGTACGCTCCAATTTGTTACCGCTTAGATCGATAAGGAATAGATTAACTTGAGTCAGAAATGTTGAAGGTGGTATATCCACCAATTTATTATTACTCAAATCAAGCATTGCTAAATCTGGATTGGAATAAAAACTATTCTGATCTATAGACCGTATCTGAAACATACTTATTTACCTGAGACGGGGTTAATGCATAAGAATCTGGATAGCAGATATTTCTGGATAGCAGATAATTATGCAACGCAAAGAAAATTTGGAAACTAAGGAAACATAAACTACAGTTATTTAAATAATGGAGATCTTTACAATGCAAAGGTTGCTTCCAGAGTTTGATATTGCCAACTGTTCAGTTGGTGATTGAGAAAGGAATTCAGCTTTTTTAGACTTTGAAATTTCGGGTCCAGAATCTTATTTTTTGAAAACGGAATTTCAGTAAAGCTTCTAACTTGGATTGAAATTGGGCATTTACTTGGTATATATATATATATATATATATATATATA